GCTGCGGAGGTTTTTGTCCTTCTACCTTCCCTTCCCCAAAAGACAGGAAAGTCCCCTTGCCTATAAATTGAAACTTGATAACAGATATGCAAATGCTTCATGAGTTGACACCAGGGACGTGGCGTCAGGGGAGGCAGGAGAGGCAGGGCCTCACCATTGTCATCCTGAAAAGAAAAAAAAATTAAAAGGAAAAAGGCTGAGGTAGTTGCTGCCAGAGTCACACGTGTTTCGCTCTATGGCGGAAAGGCGCGTCGGCACTTTAAAGTGCATGCGCCGCAGCCATACAGCGGGACGTGTCGGGGCTTCGGGGGCGGCTGGTGCTGGCAGACATAGGGCGGCTTTTGCCCGCTTGCCTCACCGGCCGTGAACCTCACCGCACGTCACTGGTTGACACTGCCTTTCTTTCAGCCTGGCATTTCTTCTTGAAGTTACTGCTCAGATCTCCACCACCCTCCAATCCTTCCGCGCTGCTGTAAAGATCTGGCTGTCCCGGCTGGCCTGGGGCTAAGATTATAGCCCCACTCGAATGGTGTGATTGTTGCGTTTTTTCTCTTTTAATATGTTGTATTGTTTATTGTTTGTTGTTTTCCCCCTCCCTTTTGAATTGTGAGCCGCCCTGAGTCCCTTCAGGGAAAAGGGCGGCATACAAATAAAGGTTAAAAAAAAAAAATTGAGTTCGCCATTGGAGAGATTATTATCAGTAGTGTCTTCTTTTTCTTTGAATTTCTTTGAATTTCCTCCCTAGAAATGTCTGCTACTTTGGTTTGCCCATAGAATTACTTGTCAGACAAAATTCTTCATGTTGTCGGACTGTGTCCTTTGATTTTACTACACTGTTTCTTACATGCTAATGTTGTAATCTCACAACTTTTATGCATAAAGTTTATACATGTATGCATTTTTTTTTAATTTGTTTCTGTGTGTTTCAATAGATTCATAAGGACCAGAAATGGATGCAACCTCTGCCTGGTACTGACTCAAATGCATCTTCCTACAACTTGAATACGTGTTTGTTAGTGTTTATGAGCAGTTGTTTATTGACCCAGAGTAAGAAAGTTGGGAAGGACAGGTGCAGACGTTTCCATCAGTGCCACCTTCTTTGTGACAAAATTATAGCTTTGAAACTTTTCCTGTAGGAAACTAACAATCTTTCTATTCTTGTTCTTGGAATCTTCCCATTCTCTCTTGTGTCTCATGTGTCTTCCAGATGTTGACTTGCACATTTCCAAACAATACTGAATAGCAGTAGGTGGATGGTGTATCACGGCTGTTGGCCTTCAGTGCTGATTAATGGAATTAATTGGGTCGCTAGATAGTAAGAATGTCTTCTTGTATCTTCTCTGTTCCCAGCTCCCCCACTTGTTAAACTTGGCTCTACAAAAGTGCAGTTGAACAAGCTAAACACGATTGCATGTACAGCAACAGATTTCTATCCTGGCAATATATCCATGACGTGGTTCCGAAATGATAAGATTGTGCAAGGCCCCGAACGGCCTCCTATTCAGCCCAGCACCGGCCAATTGTTCAGAGCAGAAAGTTTCCTGAAGCTCGTACCAGAATTTTCGGATGCCAAAGCCAACTTCTCTTGCCATATCAATCACCAAGCATTCAAAGGGCCAGAGGCACCACAATTCCAACTGAGCTTGCAAGGTGAGTATAACCTTTTGCTCAGAAAGCAAGGAACCCAGGTCAGTCTTTCTCCAGTTGTCCAGTCACAATCTCTTTATTTTAAACTGTTTCTTGAAATTTGGGCTGAAAGGCAGAGCTGGGTGCACAAAATGCATCACCTTGTTCATTTAAATCTTTATTTTTTTTTTAAAAAAAAGTCCTAATTGACTCCATTTATGTGACCCAGCCAGTTACAGACTCTTATCTTACAAACCTCATGTGGCTTGGTTATTATGACATCTTGAAGTCGGAACCAAACAAACTGCACTGTTGTGTAGCATGAACCAGGCACTAGCTTCTTCTCAGAAGGTTCAAAGCTAGCTTTAGACTCAACTTGGAGACATTTTCTGCCTTATGGGTAATGTCACTCTTTCAGTTAATCTGTAGTTAATGGAAGAAGAGAAGCTCTTGGGCACTTGTATATTTTCTCATGCTAAGTTGAAAGATACCACACAGTGTTTTTTTATATGGGTGCCCCCAAGGATATGCACAACTTGGATATCTGGTGATAGAAAAAAGAGGAAATCCCTCCCTCCCCCAAGGAAATAGGGAAACATAACATTCCCCTTTATAGTCTTTATTGATTAGCCCTTGGGCCATATCAAAGTGCAAAGTTCCAGAAACAAATTATTACTAAAATTTGATAAAAGCAATTTAAAATGGAACTGGAATAAAATACGATTTAAAATGGAATTAGAATAAAATAAAGTCTAAAATAAAATTGGAATAGAATATAATAATTTAAGATATAGATAAAATATGATAAAATTACATTTCAGTGTCACCCCTGCAATGTACCCCAATCAGTCCCACATATGCAGATCTCAACCGAACCATTTTGTTTAAGTTCTGTGCTGTGTTAAATATTATTTTCCAGTTCTGGACACACATAAAGTAAGTTGTTTTGATATGGGGATCCCAATGGGTCATTTGTTTAGTATACAGACCAAGGTACCTGTCTCTCACCACCGTATACAAGCAACAATCGAATAGGATGTGAGCCAGGTCTTCTTATCTTTGCTGTTCTGCAAATGCAGAGGTGCGTAGGGTATAGAATGGAATCTCCCATATCTGACCATTGTGTTAAGCTGTTCGAATCTTGCTTGCGTAAATATCTCCCTAAGATGTTTTGTCAGTTATATCTTCAAACAGCTGTCTAGTTGAAAAATACCTTCGTAATCTGTATTTAGTGGAAGAGGACAAGCTCTTGGGCACATATGTATTTTCTCATGCTAACTTGAAAGATACCACATGGTGTTTTTTATATGGGTGCCCAGAAGAATATGCACAACTTGGATATCTGGTGATAGAAAAAAGAGCAAATCACCCCCTTCCCCCAAGCAAATAACAAAACATAACAAAATAATCATCATCCCCGCAGAAGCTGAGCCCCTAACGCAAAAGCTTCAGAATCAAAGTCCTTCACAAAGGAAAAACTAAACAAAACAGTCCAGCACTCAGCTAAGCATAATAGTGTCAGGCTAGCTGATAAGAGCCTACAACAGAGCATCTTAAAGTAAACTCTGAAACCACAGAAGATAGTTCTTTTCCTTTCAACTAAAATAATGAGGACTGACAAGATTAAGACAGTAGCGCACAGAAACTCACCAGATTTACATCCCCATCCCTCCCGGTGGCTAGGATTAACCTCTTCCTTCCTGAATGACCAAGCCAGAAAAAATTATCCCATCAAAAGGTTCACCAGCAAACCCCATGAAAATATCTGAATCTCAAACGCTAAAAAAAAAAAGAACATAAAACCTTCAATATGTGGTTCTCAGGTCAGCTAGCTAGCTCAGAACCCATTGCGGATGTCACTATCCTCTGGCTTCCAAAAGTAAACTTCTTTGTGGAAGTTTGTTTTCTTGTCTATTTGTCCTACAGTGCCAATAGCCTTATCTCTGCTGGAGGGATGAACCAAGGGAATTTTTCTTCCAATACTGCCAAAGTGGGGGTGGGGAAGAGATTAAAGTACTAAGTTGTATCCTCTGTAAAATCAGAGCACAGCACACACCGTTTTGATAATATTGCACCTTTCATACACAGTAGTGCACAATCTAAGGTCCCAGTGCTCCCTATAGCTCCCCAAAAATTGGATGTGAGCCCCAGAGCTGTTGTTGGAAGAGAGAAATAAAAACACAAGAATATTGCAGCAACTTCATAGATTCAAACTGCACGTGATAAAAGCTACAATAGATTGACTGTCTTGATAGATTGGTTCTCTGGGACTGTAAATACACCTCTCCCTCTGCTAGCACCACTCAAATGTCAGCCTAGGGGTCCATAGAGCTTAGGGAAGCTGCCTATATTCCCACTGGTGACCATCTGGCCTCTTGGTTCTCTGCAGAATTCAGTAATACCCAAACTGAGCTTTGAGGGAGCCTCATCATGACCTGTGTTTGTTTCAGATCAGTGTTTCTCAAACACAGCGATTTTAAGATGCATGGACATCAACTCACAAAATTCCTTGCCTTACAACAGTTCATTCAGTGATGGAAGTTACAACAGCACTAAAAAATGTAACTAATAACCATTTTTTTACACACTTACAACCATTGCAGCATCCCCACGGCCACGTGATCAAAATTTAGATGTTAGGCTCGTGATTATGAGATTTACTCATATTTATGAGATTTATTCCAATGTTCCAGAATCATGTGATCATCTTTTGCAAAGTTCTGACAAGCAATGTCATGTTCTGAACTAGGTTTCCCCAGCAGCATGAAGTTGAGTCCTCGTCCTGATAAACACCTTTTATTTAATTTACAGTGAATTCCTCTCCAGCAAAGTCTTTCCTCTCCCACAGTCTTTCCAGATAGTTCACAATTACCAACCTTTATCAGGCTTGGAGAGTGGCCAGGCCAGATATCTCTCAGACTCGACAATACTTGGCAAGAATGCAGAAATGAACTAATTGTCTACTGCAAACACCCGTCTCCTTTAGCTCCTCTTTTATTCCCTATGGGAGGAGCCATTCATTGTCCACCTGTGGCCTTACTCCCAAGTCAACCCTTGGTTCCTTAGCTGATCCCTTAGTCTGGGAACTCTGCACATGCGCACACTGGGAACAGGCTCCAGCTGTTTGTCTGCCTCACTGATAACTGACTCAGAAGACAGCTGATAACTATCAGACGGCCCTGGCCCCATCTCTGCCTTTGACGTAGAACACTCGTCAGAGCTTTCCCCAGACTCCAGGACTGGCCCATGTTCCTCCCCAACCTCCCCACTGTCCGAATCTGCTGCTAGCTCTGCTGGCTGCTGGCAGGCCACAACATGCCAATGGGGAAGCCAGACATCACTTAACAACCATGTTACTAACTTAATCACTGCGGTGATTCACTTAACAACCTTGGCAAGAAAGATCATAAAACGGGGCAAAATTCACTTAATAACTGTTTCACTTAGCAACAGATATTTTGGGCTCAATTGCATTCATATGTTGAGATGTACAAGAATCTTAAAGTTGCCAAGTTTAAGAAACACTGTTTCAGATGGAAGAGAGGAACAGTCAGTAGCTGGAAACTGATTTTGGTGCTCCCTGACTGATCAGTTGAAGCAAGCCGATATCAACTGGCCCTAGTTCACACAGCAGCTGTGTCAACAATACAGCTAGTATTTTACTTATGACCACAATTGAGCCTAAAATTTCCATTACTATGCAAGACAGTTGTTACGTGAATTTTACCCAATTTTACAATCTTTTCCTCCCACAGTTGAGTACAGTGGCCACCAAAACTTTGGGCACCAGGGACTAGTTCCATGGAGAAAGTTTTTTCTGTGGACCAGAGAGGGCATTGTTTCGCATGCTGCCTAAATCCTATGAATGGTGCTATGCTTGTTTGTGTGGTCTGGTTGCTGATATGCCATGGCCTGGTGCTGGTCCACAAACTAGGGGTTGGGGACTCCTGGTTAAGTGAATCACAACTGTTGTTATCCTAGTAATATGGTTGTTAAGTAAATTCGACTTCCCCGTTCACTTTGCTTGTCAGAAAGTGCCAAATGTGATCGTATGACGCTGGGACACTACAACCGTCATAAATACATGCCTTGCTAATCTGAATTTGAATCACGTCGGTGAGGATGCTGCAATGGTTGTGTGAAAAATGGCCATAATTCACTTTTTTTGCACTGACACTAACTTCAAACAGTCACTAAATAAATGGTTGTAGTTGAGGACAACCTGTCATCCCAGGTGGCTCCAAGAAGCTAGGAAATGATGATGGGAATTGTCTATTGCAGTGTTTGTCAACCTTGGCAACTGGCTGACTGAGGAATTCTGGGAAATGAAGTCCACCCATCTTCAAATTGCCAAGGGTGAGAAACACTGGCCTATTGGATGCAGGACTTCAAATTTCCTTCCTCTCTTTGCAGCTCGGCCCAACCTTCAGCTGATCACAAGGCCTCAAGGGGAAAAATTTGTTGCGGCCCTGTGCAATGTGAGCGAATTTTATCCCTCTCATGTCAACATTCAGTGGTTGAAAAACGGAGAGCCACAAGAGCAAGTAAAGTCAGAGGTGTACCGCATGCACAATGGGATGTTTTACATCAACAGTGTCTTCTTCCCAAAGAAGAGTGATGTTGAAGTCACCTATGCTTGTCGAGTAGAACACGAAGCTTTGGAAACCTCATTGGAAAAGTCTGTCCTTTGGCGACCAGAAGGTGAGGGAGATGTGATTATTCATCCCAGTCTCCCAGTTACCCAAAGTACTAGGAATACATTTTTTCTCTCAACTTCTCGGCCCACAGTTACTCCTACGATTCCAACTGCAGTGCCTCTTTGGCTGGTGTGTTTGGCTGGACTCGGTTCTGGATTGATACTAGGAGCAGGAATAACAATATGTATATATAAAGGTAACCTTTCACATCTAAAGAATGAAGGGTTTAATGGCAGTGATGAACAGCAGGGACAAAGCAAAGCCGGTGAAAAAACTAGCATAGAAGGATCGGGGGGAGGGTGGAAGCACCGTACAGCTAGTCCTTGACTTATGACTATAATTTGAGTCCGGATATGGTTATCGGTTGTTGTGGTCCTATGTTAAAGCAACACATGACCAGGCCCACTTTTTTGGGCAATTTTTGTGGCAGCTGTTAAGCAAACAAAGTGGTCGCTAAGAAAATCCATTTCCCCAATGGCCTTTTTGTGCCAGAAACTGGAAATAAATGCTGGAAACTCTTGACTAAGTTGCAAATTATGGTTATGTGACTGAGATGCTACACACAGCAGTAAAGATGATCCAGTTGCCAAGTACCCAAATTTGACCACATGACCATGTCAAAGATATGGCTGTCCTAAGTGAAAAGAAGTTGTAAATAGCTCTTTGGAAGAGTGTAGTATCTTTTAAAGGTAATTAAGGGACCAATATAGGGGTGAAATCCACTTACCTTTGCTACTGGTTGAGCATGCACGCACAGTCGCACGCACCACCTCCACGCATGCACAGGACCTTCCGTGCATGCACAGAGTGCACCTGCAAAAGTAAGCAAACAGTGAGGGGGGGGGGATCTGCTGTGCCACATGATTTAGATTAGCTAGAAAGCTAGAAATTCTGCTTTCTAGCTAATATGAATCATGCATCACAGTTGATCATTGGAAAAACTGATTCGCCCAAACTGGTAGCATTTTTTTTACTACCAGTTCGGATGAACAAGTACCATTTTTACTACCGATTCAGGTGAACCAGTCCGAACTGGTAGCATTTCACCCCTGGGCCAATGGTAAGTAAATTAACATGTACCTTTTAATTACACTTTTTAAAATGTTCTCTCTATTTACAGCCAAGAATAACTCAGTTATGGGTACATCCGATGAGAAAAAGCATCTTCAAAAGAAAGATGAGGAGAAACTACTAGACACATCAAAACCAAGACCAGAAGAGACCAGGAGTGAATTAATACCTACAGAAGAGTTGGATAATGTGCAGGAACAACGACTTTGAATGGGTACTATATACATTGCACTGAAAAATGTGGTCTGTGTAAAGCAAGCCTTAAATTTATCTTCGATGATCTGTACAGTTCATTGTTTCCTTCCATGGCTTAAGGAAACCATAAACATGTGAATACGAGGTATTTGTGAAAGACAAGAAGTAGAAATTGCTCTTTGTCATCAGTCACAGATTTCTACTTTTCATTTTTTTAAATCAAGTTGGTGTACAAATTATGCTGTGAAGCCAAACACTAACCCTCTCTTTTAATTAGTTACTAGAAAAGGGGGATGGGGGGAAATCTTTCTTTTTTCTTTTAACTTTCTCGCTAGATGTATGCAAAAGATTTATCAAAGGAAAAAGTTCAAATTTGAATTACCTTATTTTTAGGATGAAACAATTATTTCAAGTGGGGAAAAGACTGCTTTGATCAGTTTGGAAGCTTTTCCAACTAAAAATAGTTGTTTGATATTCAAAATGGACATGTTTGAATATAACATTTCATTCATTCATTCTTTACCATTCATATTTGATTCTTGGTGGCAACTTTACAGACTATTCTGTGATATCCTGTCAAGCACAGCTTTTTTAAATTATTGGATGTTCATCTTTGTATCAGCTTTGATACTATTAAGCAGCAAGTTCTTTGCAGCCCTTTTTTCTAACCATTTCTACAATCTTTGACTTGTCCAATGAATTTGCTTGCATGACATGGCCAAAATAAATCAGACATGGTGCTGTTTCTGGTTTAATATGATTGAACACCTTTTGGTTAGTTAGTTAGTTTCTGTTAGTTGTTCTGGCTGACCTTGGCATATGGAATCATTTATGCCAACACTACAGTTCAAAGGCATCTGTTTTATAAAGCCCTGTTTTTCAACCAGAGAAACTATGATTGACATGCACTAGATTAAAGTACAGGTACTTACAACAGTTCACTTCCTCATTGTTCAAAGTTACAATGGCTTATGAAAAGTGAAAACTATGACTTCTGACCTATTTTCAGTTTTGACCTTTGCAGCATTCCCATGATCATGTGATCAAAATTCAGGTGCTTGGCAGCTGGTTCATATTTATGACCATTGCTGTGACCCAAGATCATGTGATCACCTTTTGTGGCCTTGTGATGAGGAAAGTCAACAGAGAAGCCATTGACTGGGTTAATAACATCAACTGCAATGATTCATTTAACAACTGTGACACGAAAGGTTGTAAAATGGGGCAAAACCCTCTTAACAAATGTTTCACTTAGCAATAGGAATTTTGGGCTCAGTTGTGGTTGTAAATCAAGGACTACCTGTACAAACTTACGGAGCTATTTTTCATTTTAAAAAATATTCCCTAATGGTTGCTGCCCATTAAAAAAACAAAACAAACAGAAATGTAAGATATTTTAGTGTTGCTGTATCTGCCAGTTGAGCCTAGAATGGAAAAGAATTCATATTATTTTAAATTAAAATCACATTTTTAAAAACAAGAATAGTGGGTGTAAAGTAGGAAATCAGCAAGAAAATTGTGTTTGGGCGGAGTTATTGAGATTTTCAAAAAGAAGAAATTGAGAAGTTTAAAGAACAAAAGGTAATGTATGAAATGGATGTGGAAGTAAGTTAGAAAGGTATAAAAAGATATAATAAGTATTGCTGATATAAATTTAGCTACGTTCTTGCTTTTGCATGCTTACTATTTATTTATTTTTACATTTTTTGTGCTTTGGGTAAAGCTGCCTCACCCAAAATATAATAGGAAGAAAGTATGCTGCACATCTATTACATGGAAAGAAATATTGGAGTTTATATTTTTCAAAATAATTCTACCAATGTATTAAAATCATGTTCATTATTAGAGCTATGTTGCAGAAAATGAGGAACAAAATGTGGGAAATGCCACTGTAAATGACTTTTCTGTACTCCTATCCATCATGCCGCTAATACTGGTGAGACAAGCCAAGAGTCATCTCTTGAACGTTTTATAACCTAGTAGGTTTGTATGGTAAAATATGCTATTTTAAAAAACATGATCTTAAATCAGGTAAATCAGAGGTATAAGCATGTATAGATCCCAAGAAATTGAGAAACAAGGGGCAGACATAAATCTTTTTCTCTTTTTAGCTATATTTTTTTAATAAAAAGTTTATTATGAGATAAAATACAAATCTAAACAAAAGTTAGAAAAATTAAAGAGGAAATTATTAGATCACTGCAGAGAAATGGAAGAGAAAAAAATACCGACTTCCCACTTCTGTACAGTAGAATACAAAAAAGTTATAGCCTCAACCCTTTGCTTTACATTTTTAAACATTTCAAGTCATATAGAATAGAATAGAATAGAATAACAGAGTTGGAAGGGACTTGGAGGTTTCTAGTCCAACCCCCTGCCTAGGTTATCTAATATCTTCTTAAAAACTTCCAGCGTTGGGGCATTCACAACTTCTGGAGGCAAGCTGTTCCACTGATTAATTGTTCTGTCAGGAAATTTCTCCTCAGTTCTAAATTGCTTCTCTCCTTGATTTTCCACCCATTGCTTCTTACTCTACCGTTAGGTGCTTTGGAGAATAATTTGACTCCGTCTTCTTTGTGGCAACCCCTGAGATATTGAAATACTGCTATCATGTCTCCCCTAGTCCTTCTTTTTATTAAACTTTTTATTAAACTTGACATACTCAGTCCCTGCAACAGTTCTTCATATGTTTTAACCTCCAGTCCCCTAATCATCTTTGTTGCTCTTTTCTGCACTCTTTCTAGAGTCTCCACATTATATATATATATATATACATACATACATACATACATACATACATACATACATACATACATACATACATACATACATACATACATA